CCTACTGTCACGCGTTTCCTAGCCACTGTTGTCACTGACCCTTCCTTTGAGTCCACTGCTGCGTCTGCCTTAGTTGCCGAGCTTGTCGACTTCGCTGCTCACTGTCGTCTAGACTACGCCGCTAGTCTTGTTGCTGAGTCTGAGTCTGTCTGTCCTCCGTCCGTCGGGGGTGAGTGTGCTCTTAGCACGGACGTCCTTGAGGACAGGCAAGAGGAGTTCCAGTGTTTTGCTGCTGCTTGACCTCATCTCGTGTCCATGCTGCTTGCCCCTGAGGGAGACCCGGATGCACCAGACATCCCGACCCCGCGCTCTTACGCAGAGGCGATAGAGGGTCCTTACTCCTCTCAGTGGCAGTCAGCCATGGACGGAAGTCCACAGGCACCTACGTCGACGAGGTTCCCCCACCTGGGGCGAACATCGTCAGTGGCATGTGGATTTTCAGGGTAAAGCGGCCGCCGGGTTCTCCGCCTGTCTTCAAGGCGCGTTACGTGGCTCGAGGCTTCAGTCAGCGGCAGGGAGTTGACTACTTTCAGACCTTCTCCCCGACCCCAAAGATGACCACTCTTCGGGTTCTGCTGCACGTCGCTGCTCAGCGTGACTACGAGCTTCACTCTCTTGACTTCAGCACTGCTTTCCTACAGGGCAGCCTGCACGAGGAGATCTGGCTGCGCCGCCCACCTGGCTTCACTCGGTCGTTTCCTCTTGGTACCCAGTGGAGCCTCCGGCGGCCAGTCTACGGTCTCCGCCAGGCGCCCCGTGAGTGGCACGACACACTGAGGACTACTCTTGCGGCTCTTGGGTTTGCTCCTTCTACCGCTGACCCGTCGCTGTTTCTTCGCACCGACACTTTGCTGCCGCCGTTCTACATCCTCGTGTACGTCGACGACTTGGTGTTTGCTACGGCTGACACTGCTGGACTCGCTCACGTGAAGTCCGAGCTGCAGAAGAGACACACGTGCACAGACCTGGGTGAACTGCGCAGCTATCTTGGCTTGCAGATCACCCGGGACAGAGCACGGCGCACCATTACCCTGACTCAGTCACACATGGTGCAGCAGGTCCTTCAGCGCTTCGACTTCACGTACTCAGGCCACTCCTCTGTCTACTCGCCACTCGCTCTCAGCTCTGCCTTCGGATGAGTCCGTAGAGCCGAGTGCCCGTACCCAGAGCTTGTTGGCTGCCTCATGTACCTGATGACCTGCACTCGACCTGACCTGGCATACCCTCTTAGCATCTTGGCACACTATGTTGCTCCTGGCAGACACCGACCAGAGCACATGGCGGCCACGAAGAGGGTGTTGCGCTACTAGTGCAGTACGTCGGGCATGGGGCTCGTGCTTGGAGGGCGGAGTCCAGTGGTCCTCACTGGTCACGCAGACGCGTCTTGGGTTGAAGACCTGGCTACTCAGCGGTCGTCACAGGGTTACACCTTCAGCCTTGGTTCCGGTTCTGTTTCGTGGCGGTCTACCCGCTCGTCTTCTGTTCTCAGCTCCAGCTGTGAGGCTGAGATCTACGCAGGGGCCATGGCTGCACAGGAGTTACGCTGGCTCACCTACCTGCTGACTGACCTGGGAGAGCCGCCTCGTTCTCCTCCTGTTCTGTACGTAGACAACAAGGCCATGCTGGCCTTGTGTCGGGAGCACAGACTGGAGCACAGAACGAAGCACATTGCTCTTCGTTACTTCCTTGCTCGTGAGCTGCAGCAGCGTGGTCAGCTACGCCTTGCTTACGTGGCCTCTCAGGCCAACACTGCCTGATATCTTCACCAAGGCACTTCAGCCTTGTGATCATCAGCACTTCTGTACTATGCTAGGTCTTGTGCCTACTTGGCCCCACTTGCTTACCTCTTGACTTTACTTGTACTGTGATCTATATATATACCTGTACATGCTTGTTTACCTTGTATATATAATCCTGCATGTGAACTGGCTTTGTGGCCTTTGAACCTGTGCTCGGAATGTGTGGTGACGTTGTGATCCACCCTGAGCTTGCTTTGCTTGACTGGTCTTGTGACCCCTTGTTCTCCCCCACTTTGCCTATGGGGGTGTGTCAAAGATTAATCACATAGCATGTGTAGGCTGTAGTGGGGTAGACACTATGGGGTACAGTTTCCTAGGGTTTCATATTTGTACCCAACTCATTTTCCTAGTCAACCATTCTCATTTTTTCACACTTCACACTTCAGTAGACTCTCCACAAAGTCCTTAATCAGCTCTGATACCACTTGTTAGAGACTAAGGATGGAGTCAATGAAGATTAGGGGCTGAAATATCTCAAAATCGTCAACTACAATTCTGGACAGAAAAGTCGTCGTCACAAGAAATGCCGTCGACGATTAACGCACATTTAGAATTCTTTTAAACTCGAGTATGTTGTAGCCCTTGACCGTGGCTATCTTTCCCAATGTGAATAGTATCAAAATATGGAGTATAACTCGAGTTATGAACTTCGGCGCACTAGGGGGTATGCTGCCATAGAAAACGTAACTCAATCACAATTATCTCACAAGTTCACACAAGAAAGTTGGAGTAGCAATTGAACCAGGTAGGAGAGGATGAGGAGGACGAGAGAGAAGGTCCCAAGGGAGTCCCCAACCAAGGAAACCCCATACCACACATTTCCCCTCTCTATAGGCACCCCAACTTTGAAATTTGTCACTTTCCCAACTCATGCCATCCACCTCACCCAACTTGGCCACAATTGCCAACCTGGTTTGGCTTCTCCCAACCACTTGGCATCATCTACAGTGATGGTGACGAATTTCCCAACCCCCAAAAGTCTGTACCCCATATTGAGTCAACCAGCAAATTCCCATAGTCGCCGCATCTCAATCAAAACTTCGAACGATCATATCTTTCTCGTTCTTGCTCCGATCGCGGCGATTCTTGGTTCGTCGGAAAGCTCTCAAGCAGAGGAGTCACTTCAGATATCTGCTCAAGGCAAATAACACTCACACACACTCAGAAAATCCAAACAACACCAAACACAAATTCTTGCACACGCTCACACCACGCATGCAACACACGAACATATGATGGGAGGCAGACAGACGTGAATGCAAATGATAGCATCACATAACACCCCCCAGGACAACGAGCATGTAACCCCTCCCTAGGATCAATCGGGGATCTTCAGTGGACCTCTGACAAAGGTTACACAAATATACTACACTGATGCTCTGGGGTAATTTTTTCGAAACTCAATGTTACACTGATGTATCAGTGTAACGAAAAATTACACACTGATCAGAAGGGTTTTGAAAAAGGCTACACTGCTAATCGTGAGTAGCCAAAAACCAAACATAGGCCCTGCTATGGAGGGTGGTTCCTGTGGGAAGCGAGCCAGGATGCCAACAATGCTCTGCTCAATGCTGCAGCAGCTGCTTGATTTGAACCCTACAGTCGTAGGACAGTATGAGAAGTTTTATGCCTGTTATTATCTTTGAAGTGTAGACGTGCTGTTGTGGTGTTGGAGGTGGATGTGTTAATGTATTAATAAAGTGCTGATTTTTAGAAGCTCGTGATTTACGGTACCGTAGTTCCTGTTCTGCACAGCCCACAGCCCATGGAACCTATGACTCCGCACAGCCACGCTGAAATCCGCTATGCAGTAGATTCTTCGAGCAACCATGCAGTAGATTCTTCGAGCAAGCATGCAGTAGATTCTTCGAGCAAGCATGCAGTAGATTCTTCGAGCAAGCCTGCAGTAGATTCTTCGAGCAAGCCTGCAGTAGATTCTTCGAGCAAGCCTGCAGCTGGCAGGGTACCGGTAGTGATCATAGGTGCCTTCCATTTTCTGTGGTGCAGACATCATCTACTTTCTTAACTTCTCTCAGTTCGAACTTCAGGTAGAGAGTAACTTTACGGTAGATGAGATGAACTTTGGGTAGAGGGTAAGAGAAAGAAAAAACCTATTGTTTGATGTGTAGACAAGTTGATTGGAAGTCGGGAGATGGGTTGTAAATGGTTTTATTGAGTTCTGGAATCATACTGTATGAAGCTGGTTTTCAAAAGCTCGTGTTTTGATTGTCCAAATTTGCGCCAATCTCGAAAAAAAGAGGTGACGTCAGGGCTGATTTTATCAGGGTAATTACCCTGATTTCAGGGTGATTACAGGCTTCTCACCTGGTGGTCCCTGCAATTTCAGAATTTCTGACTTGTGAACACTGATCCATTCAGAATAGTGCTTTAGCGAACCCTGAAATATTGTATCTAGACTCAGAGTAGTGTTCTTACTGACTCTGTCAAAGTAGAGTACGCGTTATGTGGACTCTGAATTTGACCTTATCGGAACGAAGTTTCTCGGAAATTTCCTTCCAATAACCCCGCCTTCGGACTGGTCGCAGTACAGCCAGAGCGTGAGCAGCGCGCGGCAACATGTCTGACAGGTGAATACACTCTACGTATGTTAGTTTCACAGAATTCGACGATGTCAGTTGTATTGTCGCAATTGCGTGTGCGTGAAGTTACCAACACATTTTTTGCGTTTCGCACAATGATGTTGGCGAATTGCGGGTAATCAGCGAATAGGAAATCTTGGCACATCTATGGTACCGAACTGTTTGGTGGACCGAAATTGCTCGTTTCTTCCCCGCGCTAAAACGTGTGGAGAAATACCATTCAGAGAAAGTTAAGGGTGAGAAAGTAACGCCCACAAGGTGTGCATGAAATGATGTCGCGTTGTGTTGGGATCATGCGGAGCGAAACCTTTTTCCCCGTTAAACACAGTGCGCGTTACTACATTGATGTTCAATTCTCGACCCTGAGCAATCAGAGTTAACTACTTTTCAACACTGAGCAATCAGAGTAGCCTACCTGTGGAATATATGCACCCATAATAGAGGGGGGAAATTTTCCCCTGAATCAGGGAGGCTTAAAATGAAACGTCAGCCCTGGGTGACGTGTGCGCGACAGGCGCCACTCGTGGCAATCCATCAGTTTCCCCAACTCAACTCACACCACTCTATCCCCATGCACAGTGCAGCAGTCCCTCCCTCCCAGTCACATCACCTTCCCTCCCGCCATCTCCTCCCCAGTAGCTACATGGCGCACCCACCTGCCACCACCAGGCTGAGTGGAGCAGGGAGACAAAGCCACCACAGGGGACCCATCCCACACCACAGTGTAGAGAATGCAGCACCAGCTCGGCTGGACTCTCACCCCTCTGCCCCCATGCACACACAGTGCAGCAGTCACTCCCTCCCGGTCACACAACTGTGCCGCCCGCCATCTCCTCCCCCGTTGCTGCCAGCTGCACCCACCTGCCACCCGCCGCCGCCCCTGCTGAGCTGGCGGAGTCCTGCAGACTGCCGTCCGCCTCGAGCTCCGCCTGCACCTGCTTCGCCATGAGGGCTAGCCCTGGGCGGCACAGGGCACATGGTCAAGTCGTGAAGAGGTGTTGCAAATAAGGGCAGAGAAGGGCATGTCAAGTCGTGAAGAGGTGTTGCAGTTTGCCTCTAGCTTCGCCTGCACCTGCTTTGCCATGAGGGCTAGCCCTGGGCGGCACAGGAGAAAAAGAAAACGTCACACTGTACATCACACTCACCTCCACACACTCACCTCCACACACTCACCTCCACACACTCACCTCCACACACTCACCTCTACACACTCACCTCCACACTCTCCTCCACACACTCTCCCCACCAAGATTCAACCCCTAACACACACACTCCCCTCCCCCCCCCCCTTACACACACCCCGGCACACTCACCCTGCACCACGCGACTGACAGCTGTCCACCACTTGTCTTCCGACAGCTGTCGCCTCGTCAGCGCTGACGATATCTCCTCGCTGCGCTGCCTGGACAGCACCGGCAGCACCTGGGCGGCATCCCTTGTCTCTTCTAGCACGCCTCTCTGCAGTGGGGAGATAAGAGCGGGAGAGAGACGAGAGACGAGATGCAAGAACGTAAGGAGAAGGAAATGGAGAAAGCAATTGTTTGTTGGGTTTGTCTTGACTGATATAACACATCTTTGAGCGATCTGAGAACATTCAAGTGACATATGTGAGAGGCCCACAAAATGCATGGAAAGAGGGGAACATGGAGGAGAATGAGGCAAGGGGGAGCAGCGTACAAAAAGAAGTGTGAAAAATGTCTTGCATGGTAGATGGCTTACTTTTGAGGCGCCTCAAAAGTTGTCTTGCATGGTTGATGGCTTAATTACTGGCAGCTTTACGTTTGAGACGTGTCAACACTCACTTGTGGCGAGCCACGTGTACCTGGAAGGATGGCGGTTGTTTGATGGCCACAAGAGCGTTGCTCTCTCCCTCCTCCCCCTCGCTGTCGTTGCACATGGCCTGCACACAATCCCAAGGGGGCAGATAAATCTTAAAAACAAATTATACGAGCCTCACGAATCAGTGCGTCCCTCTCTCAGTGAATCAGGGCCCAATATGCTACAGTGGGCCAGCGTCACAGTGCAAGCGGGAGGCACCCACCCATGTGCAGACAGATTCCTTTGAAAGAACGCGCTCGTGAGAGGCAGAGCCCCTTGAGCTGCTCACGTGCCACTCTTTGACTCCGAAGCACGCTGGGAGGACGTGCACGTAGTAGCCAGGGCCCACTGGGCCCACTCGGGCGCTGCCCGAGTTCCACGTCACTCTTCGACTACGAAGCACGCTGGGAGGACGTGAGTGTGAAGGCCAGAGCCCACCCCACTGGGCGGTAGTGGCCCAGTGCCACTCTGCGACTGGGAGGCATGCCCGCATGCAGACACTTACATGGTACCACTCACCTGCAGCCAGGCAACCTTGTAGCACCCACCTGCAGATCCCTCTGTTTATGAAGTCTGTTTATGAAGGAGTGTTTTGAGACGTCTCAAAGCACCCACCTGCAGGTCCCTCTGGGAAGACGTGAGTGTGAGAGACAGAGCTCACTGGGCAAGATATTTTGTCTCGTAGTAGTCAAGAAGCACTGTGGCGTTTTCGAAAAGGACGAACTGGTCAAATGGGTTGTTGGGCGGCAGGAAGCCGTACAGCAGCAGGAACTGGGCGGTGTCCATGGAGCCATAGCCCACGCTGATTGGCTGGCCTGGAGAGATGACGTCAGCAGCAAAGTTGTTGTTGTCAGCAGTGGAGGAGTGAATGGTGGGCTGACGTGGCAAAAACGGGAGGGGAGAGGAGGGGGGGGAGGGAGAGAAGCGGAGTGAGGAAGGAAAGGAGGAGAGAAATGGAGATGACTGTTTGTCGAAAGAAGGGAGAGGGGATGCAAGGTGTGGGGAGAGCAAGGGGAGGGGAAGAAGGAAAAAAAAGGCTCTGACATGCCAGTTAAAATTCATGTTTAAATTACTCTGAATGGGCCTCTTTCACCTCCAGAGATTGCCCGAACCTGACAAACCTGTCCGAACCTGTTGAACCTGCCTGTACCTGCCCATATCTGCCCCGTACCTGTCTGCACCTACCCTTACCTGTCCATACCTATCCGTACCTGCCAGTCTGCTGACTAGAAGTCGTGGTTGAAGAGATCTAGCGGAGGCGGCAACAAGTGCACCTCCGCAGTCACCTCACAGCTTGCTCACTCCCTTGCACCTGTTTGTACCTGACCCCACCTATCAGTACCTGCCAGTCTGCCTTGTAATGAATCTTGTGGTTCAAGAGATCTAGAAGCAGTTGCTCACCCACCTGAACCCCCTTGAACATGCGGGTACCTGGCCAAACCTGCCCAAACCTACCCATACATGTTAGAACCTGGCCGCACCTGCCAGTCTGTCGTGTAGTAAAACTCATGGTTGAAGTGATCTAGCAGCGCGAGCAGCATATGCGCTTGGATCACCTACGTACTCGAATTCACGTTTCCCGAGACGCGTTTCAGAAACATCCAAGTCGCTGCTCGTGCTGCTGTCTCTGCTGCCGCTCCTGCTTTCGCTCCTGCTTTCACGTTCATCACTTTCGCATAGCACGGTCGGAGCTGAGACGATCAAGACGAATGGCGATCGTGAGGAGAAGAGCTCGGATCGACCGACGACTGCCACGTGGCATGAAGGTCGCGGTCGAACGTTCGTGGAACGACTCGATCGCGCCGCGCGAAGGGCGAAAGCAACCCATCGAGGCGCCGCTGTGCGGCGAGCTCATCCAAAGGCCCCGCGGCCAGTTCACGTCGTGAAACGTCTGGAAAAGCCAGTTGCGCTGTTCACGGAGCAAAAGCCACCACACGACTAACTATGTGGCTACGTCTGACAACCACGGACACGATGCCACGATGATGAGCTCAAAGGTGCGTGATCGAGACCAAAAAAGCTTTCTAGTCAAGAACATTGCCGAGCTGTGATTGGGCAAATTCTCCGTCAGATCCCCGAAAAAATTTGGACCATTTCTCGATTTGTGCGTGTCATCCTTGCGCAGGGGCCATGCTAATCTTCTCTGTATCGTTCCAATTTTAACGGATGTCCCGAAGGACGATTCACTAAGCGAAACAAAAATTCAAGAACCAAGCAGGTTTGCAAGAAAGTACAAAGTGGGCATTTGTGATGCTTTGTGGGCGATTCGCGACAAGTTACGAATTTCCTTGCGTCCTGCTTGTGCAATGCTGGATTCAAATGCAGCGCCACAGCGCTTCAGGTAGATGACAGGACCTAGTCTCGTTTCGCCCACCTCCTTTCGTTATGGACTTACGGAAAGCATGAGCTACGTGTGCATTGGGCCAACCGCGCCGCTGTTTCGATAGCATCTAGGCTGAGCGCCTCAAACCTAGGAAGTTAACCCTAACCATCAACAGCTAGTTATTTCCAACCTGCTGATATCTCGCTTCTCACGCTCCACCATGGCTTTACTAATTTCCGAATAAACTCGCGCCGTTCTTTCTCGCGTCGCGGTTGCATTCTCGTCCGGCACGATCGGCGGGCTATGCATCGGGCTAGCCGTGCCGCTGCTTGCGGCGGCGGGACTGATGGATGTTCTATGTATCACCATTCACCCGCAGTTAACGCCGCCATTCGTGTATCAGAAAGTCGTGTGGGGTGGCATCTGGTGCGTCGAGGCATTACCTCCCTACTTCGCCCATTTCCTCCTCTCCTCTCATTTCCTCCTCTCCTCTCCTCCTCTCCTGTCATCTCCTCCTCTCCTCTCCTCTCTCTCATCTCCTCTCCTCCTCTCCTCCTCTCCTCTTCATCTCCTCCTCCACTACTCTCTTCTCTCTCCCCTTTTCTCTCTCTTCCTCTCTCTCCTCACTTTCCCTCAGCTTGTTCTCACACAATCGCAGTCAGCCCTTCCGCCTCCCTCCTTCTCGAATGCCCTTTCTGTCCGTGCCCCTTCAATCCGTTGCTTCAACAGGGCTATTACTGAGACGCACGCACCATACACACTCAGAGTCTACTTTTGAGGATCTATCACGCGCTCCCTTCTCCCTGCCTCAAAAGTAAAATCTGACTACAAAACACACTGACCTACTCAGGTGTCGATTGGGCTATTCCAGAGACGCACTAAACATACTTGCTCAGAGTTTTCCGTCCAATCTCTTTCTCTTGATTTATCTCACGGCCTCTTTTGCTTCTGGTGGTTCTGCCCTTGTTGAACTTTTTGGCATCTAAGGTGGGTTCCCCTTTTGCTTCTGGTGGGTTCCCCTTTTGCTTCTGGTGGGTTCCCCTTTTGCTTCTGGTGGGTTCCGCTGTGCCCCCTCCCTCACCCGTGTTGCTTCAGGGGCTTCATCCTGCTCATTCCCTTCAATACAAGCACGCTCGTCAAAGGAGCTCTCTTTGGTACGCTCTGCCTGCATGCCGTCTTCGCATGCCTGTCTGCTTCTCTTCTCTTAGTATGAGTTGACAGGTAAAACAATTGCTCCTGCCTCCCTTCCCTCCTCCTCCCGCTCCCCTCCCTCCTCCTCCCCCTCCTCTCCCTCCTCCCCTCCCTCCTCTCCCTCCTCTCCCCCCTCCTACCCCTTACACTCCTGCCACGTCTGCAGGGGCGTTGGGCCCTGGGCTGGTGCAGCTGCTCCTGGTGTTCCCTCTGAAAGAAACAGTAACTGTTGGATTATGGATGGTGAGGTGCGTTGGTTATTGGGTGTTGAGGTGGGTCGACCGTTGCGGGTTGAGATGGGTCAATCATTCGAGAGTTGAGGTACGTCCACTACGGGTTGAGATGGGTCAATCATTCGAGAGTTGAGGTACGTCCACTACGGGTTGAGATGGGTCAATCATTCGAGAGTTGAGGTACGTCCACTACGGGTTGAGATGGGTCAATCATTCGAGAGTTGAGGTACGTCCACTACGGGTTGAGATGGGTCAATCATTCGAGAGTTGAGGTACGTCCACTACGGGCTTTTGAGTCACTCTCCTAAGTCAACTGCAGGGGCGTTGGGTCCTGGGCTGGTGCGCATTCCACAAAGAAGCAGATACAGCAGGAACCACATTCCACAAAGAAGCAGATACAGCAGGAACCACATTCCACAAAGAAGCAGATACAGCAGGAACCACATTCCACAAAGAAGCAGATACAGCAGGAACCACATTCCACAAAGAAGCAGATACAGCAGGAACCACATTCCACAAAGAAGCAGATACAGCAGGAACCACATTCCACAAAGAAGCAGATACAGCAGGAACCACATTCCACAAAGAAGCAGATACAGCAGGAACCACATTCCACAAAGAAGCAGATACAGCAGGAACCACATTCCACAAAGAAGCAGATACAGCAGGAACCACATTCCACAAAGAAGCAGATACAGCAGGAACCACATTCCACAAAGAAGCAGATACAGCAGGAACCACATTCCACAAAGAAGCAGATACAGCAGGAACTACATTCCACAAAGAAGCAGATACAGCAGGAACCACATTCCGCAGCAGCAATCACTTGTGGTACATTGTCTTGAATGCTTGCATGTCTCTGCATTTGAGGCGCCTCTGAAAATCACCTGAGGCCATATTGAAATGGTAACGGGTTCATAATTTCTACTGCCATACATCCTGCCAATCTCAATTCTCACTCTATATTCCGTCTTTCATTCCCTACCCGTGCAAGCAGCCAGGCTCCCTCGCCGGTCTGTCTCTCGGCCCCCTCACGCCTCTCCTCGTTCTCCTCCTCAATGCCTTCGTATGGGGCGTGCCCTCCGCCCTGCTTCGACCCCCCTCCCCACAGTCCTTTGTCGGGTAACCTCTCCCGCCCTTGACTCCTTGGAAGGGCCTCAAAGGTCCGCAACCCTCCTGTGCCCTGCTCCCCACAGTGATGGGGGCGAATTCTGAGTCAGTTAAAAAACCATGGGGCTACTTTAAAGGTCCCCCCTCCTCATGCCATGATCCCCAGAGTCGTTTGTCATGTAACCACTTTTCCCGCACATCAAAACGGCACATGGAGAACGGCACATGCAGCACGTCACATGGAGCCCTGTTCATTCCTCGCTCCATCTTTCCCTGACGGTCTCCATATGCCTCCTGCCTCTCCCCATGTGCCTCCTGCCTCTCCCCATGTGCCTCCTGCCTCTCCCCATGTGTCCACTTGCCTCTCCCCATGTGCCAACGTGCCTCTCTCCTCCCCCCCCCCTCTGCCTCTCCCCATGTGTCCACTTGTCTCTTCGTTTCCCCCTCTCATATGCCAACACCTTGATGCCCTCTCACCTCCCATGTTTCTTCCCTCCCCACACACAGGTCGTCCCTTTCAACCCAGCCGTCGACGTTACCCAGGGCCTCTATCTGCGCTTCAACTCGGCTCTAAAGGCCGCCAACCCCTATTCACTCCTAACCCCTCCCTCTCTTCCCCCCCACACACAGGCCGTCCCTTCCGACCCAGCAGTGGACGTCACCCTGGGTCTCTACCTGCGCTTCAACTCCGCCCTGAAGGCCGCCAACCCCGCCATCAAGACCCTCCTCTCCATCAGCAGCGATTTCGTAATTACCAACCTTTTCGACAACGCCGCCTCCTCCCCGTCCTCCCGCTCTGCCTTCATTCAATCCGCGATCGCCCTCGCCCGGAAGTACAACTTTGACGGTCTGGATCTCAACTTGGCGTACACAACGGGCAACGCCACCCTGGTCTCCGCCCTGCTCACGGATTTCCGGGCGGCGATTGAATCCGAAGCTGCCGTCTCTGGGAAATCGGAGCTTCTGCTTTCTGCGATAATTTCCGCCTACGAGTGGACTGAAACTCTATCCTATGATGTCCCGACGCTTAACAAAACACTGGATTTCGTTAATGTTCCGACTTTCGATCTGCATGGGTCGTCGAAGAGAAAGACCGGCATGCACACTGCTCTGCAGGACCTGAGCAACCCCAAGCGGAGCATCAAGGGTGCCATGGCTGCCTGGGTGTCCCGAGGCTTGGCCAGAAGCAAGGCCATGCTAGGCTTGGCGATGTACGGCCGAACCTTTACTCTTGATTCGACAAGCAGCACCGTTGGAGCTCCCGCCTTTGGGGCTGGTCGGTCTGGGTCTATCAGTCAGGTAAGATCCAATTCCTGTTTCCCATTCCTGTCGTGCTTTCCTCCCTTGCTCACATACTCACGAGCCATTTTATGTTTCCCCTACGTTTCTTTCTTTCTCTCCTTGCTCTCACAATTGCAAGCAAACAGGTCCAAGCAGGCTCTCATCACTCTCTTCCTTGTCCTGCATATTCCCTATCCCTCTCCACGTCTCCAACAGGAACCTGGTATCCTATTTTACAAGGAAATCGATGAGCTGGTAACCACTGGAGGTTACACAGCTACGTTCGACGCCCCAACATCCTCTATGTATGCAGTGAAGGGTGACCAGTGGGTTGGTTACGACGACCCTTCCACCATCGCCACCAAGGTTCAGTTCGCCAAGTCACAAGGCTACGGAGGGTGGTTCTTCTGGGCACTGGGCCAGGATGCCAACAATGCTCTGCTCAATGCTGCAGTAGCTGCATGAGATGCACCCCACGGTTGAAGGACAATACATACATGCGAAATGAATTTTATGTTTGACAAGTTTGTTTCAAGCGTAGACGCGTTTGTTTGGGAGTCACGTGTGAATCTGTCACTGTTTCAATCGGGACGGAAATGCAGCCGTTTCCGAAAGCCCGTGATTCAATACCTGTCTTTTAGTGAACTGAGTCAGGATGCCAACAATGCTCTTCCTGATGCTGCAGCCACTGCGTGAGTTGATTGAACCTTTGGTAGACAGCGTGAGAAAACAATATTCCACTAATTCATCTGTTCGAAGTGTAGACAAGTTGATTGGTGGTCTGTCAGTTTTTCCCAGGGGGAATCACATCGCTCTGCCCCCATGCACAATGCAGCAGCAGTCCCTCCCAATCACACCACCCTCCCTCCCTCCCTCCCGCCATCTCGTCCCCCGTTGCTGCGAGCTGCGCTACAACTGCCTGCATTGATTGAGCCCGGTGGAGCAGGCAGAGCCACACATGCCGCCCGCAATTGCAGAGCCACACATGCCGCCCGCAATTGCAGAGCCACACATGCCGCCCGCAATTGCAGAGCCACACATGCCGCCCGCAATTGCAGAGCCACACATGCCGCCTGCAATTGCAGAGCCACAGCATGCAATTCGCAGCAGTCCCTCCCAGTCACACCACTCTGCCGCCCGCCATCTCCTCCCCCGTTGCCGCCAGCTGCGCCCACCTGCCACCCGCTGCCGCCCCGGATGAGCTGGCGGAGTCCCGCAGACTGCCGTCCGCCTCGAGCTTCGTCTGCACCTGCTTTACCATGAGGGCTAGGCCTGACATCAAAGAGAAATGGAAACATCACATCGTACAGTGGATCAGCATGGAGATAAGAAACCCTTAACACAACATATTGAGAAAAATCAGTTGGGTTGCTATGGTCTAAACTCCTCTGGTGTCTGCATGATAGAAGTTCATCCACTCACCCAATTTCGCACTCGCACTCAACCATTCACCCACACCCACACACCCACACTTTCACTCCTACATACACCCACGCCCACACTCCCCGACACACCCACACTCCTACACCCACCCACTCACACCCCGCCACACTCACCCTGCACCACGCGGCTGACAGCCGTCCACCACTTGTCTTCCGACAGCTGTCGCCTCGTCAGCGCTGACGAGATCTCCTCGCTGCGCTGCCCCGACAGCACCGCCTGCAGCACCTGGGCGGCATCCCTTGTCTCTTCCAGCACGCCTCCCTGCAGTGGCGAATAAGAACGGGAGAGAGACGAGAGAAGAGAGACGAGGGATGAGATACAAGAGTAAAGGACGTCAGGAGAAGGAAATACAGAAAAAACAATTGGGTAGTGGTATTTTCTGACTGAGAAACAAATGGAGAAGGACATAGCTGAGAGATCTGAGAGGACTCATGAGCCACATGTGATGTGAGAAGGCGACAAAAAAGCATTGAAAAAAGGGGAACATGGGGGAGAAGGAGACACAGGTGAGCAGAGTAGCATTGCAAAAAAAGAGTGAGGTCCAATTCTGGCTTGCGAGGTTGATGGGTTGTTACTAGCCCTGGGAGTGTTTGAGACGTTTCATGAACTCAGTTGTGCCTGGGTTCCAGTTGTGCCCCTGGGTTGTTGTTAGCCCTGCGAGCTCTACCGGGAAGGTCGGTGGTTGTGTGACGGCCACAAGTGCGTTGCTCTCTCCCTCCTCCCCCTCGCTGTCATTACACATGGCCTGCATGCAACCCAGAGCATTGGGGGGGGGGGGGGGGGGGGGGGGAGGTAAGACTAATGATAAAAACGAGCTTTGAGGCACCTAAAGAATCAAGTCCGCCATTTTTTCCATCTCCATGGTCGAATCAGGTGGAGACCAGTGGTGACCAGCGCAGACCTGTCTCAACCGTCGTGGAACAAAAATGTGGGAACACATATTTGTTCCAGGCGACAGAGAGGCGCACATCCGTCGCCTCAAACGCAGCTGCTCCAGCACCGGAGAGGCAGTGTGCTCGTCCCTCTGCCAGCTCCCCCCTGCCACACTGCTCGCCCCGAGGGCCCACTCATCTGCCGGCGCTTGCAAACACTCAGACTCACCTCACCTGCAACCGGGCAGCAGTGCTGGTGAGGTTAGTGTTTGCAGACACTCACTTGACACTCACGCCACACTGCGGGGCACGTAGGTCATGTGGGAGCTGTCAAAAGAGGACAGGTGGGCTGCGTAGGTCATGTGGGAGCACGCACATACCTGCAAATCCCTCGGCGAGGGCGTGAGAGTGAGAGCCAGCGCACACTGCAAGCCCACCGTGACTTGGCCGTGCGATAGCGAATGTGGTGGAAGGCGGGACACGCGCCTGCAAATCCCTCTGTGAGGATGTGAGCGTGAGAGCCAGAGCCCACTGGGCGGCAGTGGCCCACCACCACACTGCAACTGAGAGGCATGCACCCAAGGAGCATGTACACCCAAAGAGCATGTACACCCAAAGAGCATGTACACCCAAAGAGCATGTACACCCAAAGAGCATGTACACCCAAGGAGCATGTACACCCAAAGAGCATGTACACCCAAAGAGCATGTACACCCAAAGAGCATGTACACCCAAAGAGCATGTACACCCAAAGAGCATGTACACCCAAAGAGCATGTACACCCAAAGAGCATGTACACCCAAAGAGCATGTACACCCAAGGAGCATGTACACCCAAAGAGCATGTACACCCAAGGAGCATGTACACCCAAAGAGCATGTACACCCAAGGAGCATGTACACCCAAAGAGCATGTACACCCAAGGAGCATGTACACCCAAGGAGCATGTACACCCAAGGAGCATGTACACCCAAGGAGCATGTACACCTAAAGAGCATGTACACCCAAGGAGCATGTACACCCAAGGAGCATGTACACCCAAAGAGCATGTACACCCAAAGAGCATGTACACCCAAAGAGCATGTACACCCAAAGAGCATGTACACCCAAAGAGCATGTACACCCAAAGAGCATGTACACCCAAAGAGCATGTACACCCAAAGAGCATGTACACCCAAGGAGCATGTACACCCAAAGAGCATGTACACCCAAGGAGCATGTACACCCAAAGAGCATGTACACCCAAGGAGCATGTACACCCAAAGAGCATGTACACCCAAGGAGCATGTACACCCAAAGAGCATGTACACCCAAGGAGCATGTACACCCAAGGAGCATGTACCTGCAACCAGCAAGCAAGCCCCTCTATGGCACATCACGCACCTGAAGATTCCTCTGTGAGGAAGAGAGCATGAGAGCCAGCGCCCACTGGGCTGCTGTGGCCCACCGCCACTCTGGGACTGCGGGAATGCAGCTGCTACCCACAGCACCTCTACTCCATGCACCTGCTACCCACAGCACCTCTATTCCATGCACCTGCAGGTCTCGCTGTGAGGACGTAAGCGTGAGAGCCAGAGCCCACTGGGCGGCAGTGGCCCACCGCCACTTGGCCGCCTCGCACGCCATCTGCTTCTCCTGCGCCGCCGCCCGGCCGGCAAGCTCGTCTGCTAGCGCCACCTCCCCCAACGCCACACTGCGCAGATACTTGGCGGTCTGAGGCCCCGTGCTGCGCACCATTGCTGCAAAGACACTCCCTTCGTTTAGGACTAGGTTGGCTGGCGTGTCGTATTCAAGGGCCTGGGAGAAGATGAGGGAGAGCGTGAGAGGGAGGGGTGGAGTTAGAGCAGATACTTGGTGGTCTGAGGCCCCGTGCTGCGCACCATTGCTGCAAAGACACTCCCTTCGTTTAGGACTAGGTTGGCTGGCGTGTCGTATTCAAGGGCCTGGGAGAAGATGAGGGAGAGCGTGAGAGGGAGGGGTGGAGTTAGAGCAGATACTTGGTGGTCTGAGGCCCCGTGCTGCGCACCATTGCTGCAAACACACTCGCTTCGTTCAACACCAGGTTGGCTGGGGTATCGTACTCTAAGGCCTGGGGGAAGGGCAGGAGAGGTAAAGAGGTGGAGAGGCAGTTGAGGTAGAGCAGGTACTTGGTGGTTTGAGGCCCCGTGCTGCGCACCATGGCTGCAAACACACTGCGTTCGTTTGATGGCGGGAGTGTCGTACTCAAGGCCTGGGAGAGGGAATAAGCAGAGGAGGAGGAGGAGGAGGAGGAGGAGGAGGAGGAGGAGGAGGAGGAGGAGGAGGAGGAGGAGAGCCTTGAAGACACCCACAGAAGAGGGAGGAGGAGAGGGTGAGGGTAGAGGCAGGAGAGCGGGCGAGGAAAGGGGTGGGTCCGCAGAGAGTGGAGGCAGTTGGTATGGAGTACAAAGCGTTGCCCCAATTGTTGAAGGAGTCTGTAAAAGACTCGGTGGATGAGGCGATAGTGCGTGCGGCTTCTGAGGGGCAGGCGAGCAAATGGAGACATTGAGGAGGCTGGTACTGGTAATGAATCAATTCAGCTCACCATGCCAGCATCCATGACCAGGATCCGGTCGCTATCCATGATGGTGTTGAGCCGGTGAGCGATGGTCAGCATGGTGCGCCCCTTGAACTCCTCGCGCACCGTCCGTTGGATCAGCGCATCCGTGCCCACATCAACGGCTGCCGTCGCTTCATCCAGCACCAAAACGCGGGACTCCTTGAGCAGCGCCCGTGCAAGGCTGATCAGCTGCCTCTGCCCCACGCTGAAGTTCTCCCCCCCCTCTGCTACCTGCATGTGTGGCAGGAGAAAGCAGGGGATTATGGGGGTCAGGTCGGACTGGGGAAAGGGCAGCACCAGAATGCGGGACTCCTTGAGCACTCGCCCGTGCAAGGCTGATCAGCTGCTGCTGCCCCACACTGAAGTTCTCCCCTCCCTCTGCCACCTGCAAGGGTAGTGGAGTGAAATGCGAGAATGATCAGCTCTTGCCATTCTCAGCCCCTCCTTCATCAGTGCCCGTGCCAGGCTGATCAGCTGCCGCTGCCCCACACTGAAGTTATCCCCTCCCTCTGCCACCTGAATGGCAGGGGAAAGGGGAGCGGAGGGAAATGCAAAAGCGATTAGCGAGATACC